TACCAAGGATACCTGGCAATTTACAGACAATAAAGAAAAGGAATCTGTGGAGAGCCATGATCACCTATATCCTTAAAAGAGAAAGACTAATATGAAATCAAAACCATAGAGAAGGCAACAAGAAAGCACTCAGTTAAGTGGTTTCATGTTCTTTTGGATTATAACACAACTATTTATGTGGCAATTTACAGACAATAAAGAAAAGAAATCTGTGGAGAGCCATAATCACCTATATCCTTAAAGAAGAAAGACTAATTGGGTCATTTTTTCTGCAAGAAATCAGAGAAAAGTTCACAGATACAGTGGGGAAAATAAGTATTTCATCCTCAACTGATTTTCTGAGTTTGCCACTTTACAAAAATGGGAATGGTCTATAATTTTTGAGGGTAGGTCCATCTATAATTTTTGAGGGTAGGTCCATCTATAATTTTCAGGTTAGGTCTGTCTTGAAAGTGAGACATAGAATATAAAAAATATAAAAAAAATAAATAATTGTTCAAAAATTAATATAATGTGATTTTCAACAATTTTTTTTTATATTTTATCTCTCACTTTCAAGACAGACCTACCCTGAAAATTATAGATGGACCTACCCTCAAAAATTATAGACCATTCCTATTTTTGTAAAGTGGCAAACTCAGAAAATCAGCAGAGGATAAAATATTTATTTTTCTCACTGTATTAAAAAAAAAAGGGAATCTGTGGAGAGCCATTAAAATCTACATCTAAATGAACATGACAACTAAAAAAAAGTTTTATATAATTTCAATATGTTATGAAAGGGTTTCATATGTAATATTACACTTTACAATATAAAATGTTTTATGAAACGCAATACATTTTTATCATTTTATGCTTTATGAAATATGCCATTTTATGAGATTATAATTTTTTTAGATTTTATGATAATTTTTTGAGATTTATTTTTTAGATTGTATGAGAGATAGTAATTTTTTTGAGATTTTATGAGATTCATGATAATTTATGAGATCTATGTAATTTTAAGATTTTATGAAATTTATGATAATTTATGAGATCTATGTAATTTTAAGATTTTATGAAATTTATGATAATTTTTTGAAATTTTATGAGTTCTATACATTTTATGAAACTTGATTTTTTGAAATTTATGAAATTTTATGAGATTTATATGTAAAAGTATAAATATCTTGACCATTTAATTTTTAGAATAGTGGTTTTATTAACACTACAAACTGAAATTTGTTCAGTTAAAGTCAATACCCAATTTTAATAAACATTAAAATTCATTTCTTTTCTGCTGAGATAGACCTGTGGTAGTTTATATATTTCAACTTCAGTTGAAATCCTAGGCAGTTATCCAAAATTCCTGATGATTTAAACTACACTCCTAAACTTGCACCTCAGCAAGTCAGCCTTTTATGTCTTTAACATTTTTATCTTCAAATAGATCAAAGTTGCCATTTGATCATTCTACAGAAGTGAGACCACCAAACCAAACAATAATGCTTTTAGGAAGAAAACTCTTCCAGATTGCATTCTATCTATTAACCATGTTATTAAGTACAAAAACCTTTAATGCTCACTGACTCTTTCCTCAAATATTTTGGCCTTGTGCCAGACTAAGTTTACTAATTTCCAGTTGTTTATACTAGCAACAAAAAACTGTTACACTTGTAACATAACTTGGTAGGAACTAATCATTAATTGTAATGTAAACTTAAATTACAAATTACATTGTGAGTCCAATGAGCCATTAGGTACCATATGTACTGTATCTGTAGCAACAGTGGTGTGTCTAGGGCCAAATAGTCTGATGCAGTTTATCTTTTTTTAATCTGGTTTTAAATTTTGAATATTCCTTCTCCTAGTGTGGATACCACTTCAAGGCAAGAGAACTTAGTCTATAATAGTATTTAACCTATAGCTAGGGGAAGAAGGACTCATGCCTTTTCCAAGGGCATTAGTGTGAAGTAAATGAAACAGAAATGACCAGAATTTGAACTTAACTGTTCTTATAGTAATGAGTTCAATTCTCACTAGGTGCTTCTTACTTTGTACCTACTCTTAGTAAATTACATAGCGTACTTCGTATATTGATTAGCAAGCTTACCATACTAGATTAATTACAACCGAGTAATGAGTTTGATCTTCATGAGGTGCTCCATACTTTTTTTTTTTTTTCACTTTTTGCTTTTCATATGATCTGCTCTTAAATATCAAGTGCAGTGACACTGCTCACAGATTGTTGCGCTCATTATTTTAACAATATATCACTCCTTGTTAGGTTGTGTAATGTTGCATATATAAGTCTTGTAGGATAAAAGCCACACTGATTCAATAGATGAATACTCATAGCTTTGGTTTACTCTAAAGCAGACGGTTTCTAAACCAGGAAGAAATTTGCTTTACTTTTACCCTAGTTTCTTCTTGACTGCAATTTTCATTAGTGTTCGAATTCCAGTCATTTTCATTATTTTCACTTTTGCACAAATACTTTGAGGAAAATTATTGACTGAACTCTGTAGCTGTGATTCTTTAGCCATGGTTGGCAACCAGTCTAGGACAGAGATTCTCAACCAGGGCCATTTCAGCGGGGAAGGAAAAATTTTCTGCTTTTTCACAAGTTTCTTCTTGACTGTAATCTTCATCAGAATAAAACCAATTTAAATACTCTGACCTTTTATTGAACTTTTTGCTCATCGAAGTATGATTCAGTTTATTTATTTAATAATTAGTTATAAATTAAAACAAATTACTGTACATGATGTGTGTGTGTGTGTGTGTTTTGAACAATAAAAAATATTAAAAATTAAAATCTTCAGACACACTGGGTTGTATATTAATATTCTTTCATTTTTATTATTACTTCAGTTAGATTCCTCAACTAGTTTTTGGCCAACATGGCCATCATCAGGAAAAAATTTTTCTGCTTGCTAGTATATATATATATATATATATATATATATATATATATATATATATATATATATATATATATAAGTGAACATTGAAGTCAACACTCAGAGCCTCTGAATGTTGACTTCAATGTTCACTTTTACATTTATACACGATCTATCTCTAATATTGAGCACTTTATCCCATAAATATAGCACACCTTGAAACTATATTTCTTCATAGAGACAAGAGGAAAAACAATTCTTAGCAAAGTTTAAACAATACTCATTTAAAAAAAAAAAGTTCTTGAATATTTACTCACTTTTCACCTGATTTTGAATTATGGCACTTTTTATGTTTTGACTGATCTTTCAACCAACTGATTAATATTCATGAGCATTCACAAATTTACAAGCCTTGATAAACCAATGACATCCTCACTTTTGTATATAAACATGTGCAACATAATAAATCCTACATTGTCTTGATAAAGTCCATCCGAGGATGAAACACATTGACTAAAAATAATTTTTCCTCTTGTTTCTTTTTATTCATTGTGTTCTTTTACAGATACACTCTATCTAAAAATAATTTACACAAACACACACACATACACACATATATATATTATTCTTCAAGTAAATTGAATTGTGATCTCCGAGCTTCTAGCGTATTTCATATAGAGAAAAATGTTAAAATTCCCCTTCATTCTGTTGTGCGATGATGGCCTAGAGGTAAGATATCTGACTGATATCAGATCAGTCTGGTTTTGATCAATTGGATGTCTAGCCACACTGAGGAGCTGTGATACAGTGAAACTGTCTGTGGATGACGTTATATATATATATATATATATATATACTTCAAATATGAAGTGTCCATATGAAATAATATATATATATATACTAGCAGTAGAGCCCGGCTTTGCCCGGGGATGTAACAGTAAGAGATAGATCAAGTATCGACCATCATGAGGACTGAAAAATAAAATTGACAAAGCTTATTGTTTAAGGTTGACAGACACGCTTGTCTTAATTAGTTTTTTTTTTTTTTTTTTTTTTACGAATTGGTCAAACCCAAACTCAAACAAAAACATTGTTTTCAATCGTTATGAGTCTCTTGATTGAATAGAATTTTATTATAAACAATTGTCTTGTAAATAGAATTTTTAAAGCATTCTGAATGTAAAAATAAAGAAAAAAGTGTGCAACACAATAAGAAACACTACCTGCCAAAAAAAGTGAAGTGTTGTTGAAATTGGTTGAAAAATGTAGGAAATTCGATCCCATATATAAACAAACACACGCACACACACAAACAACCTGGGTTTTATAATAAGTACAACTCTATATGAGTTGTCCCCCTTTCATTCTGACGACAGAATCGTGTTTTATCATGTTTTCAAATTGATTTTGTGCAAAAACAATTGTATTTTTCCCATTTTTGGCGCTCTCAGAACCACCACAAGGTAATTTAACGCAGTCCTGTGAAGTTTTGTTGAAAAATGTAGGAAATCTGATCCAATATATAAACGTACAGACACACACACACACACACACACACACACACACAATCTGTGTTTTATAATAAGATATATATATATATATATGTGTGTGTGTGTGTGTGTGTGTGTGTATATATATATATATATATATATGTATGTATATATATATATATATATATATATATAGATATAAATAAAATATCATTCACTACAGTAGACAGTATCTTACAGCATATATGAAATATTTAATCTGTGCATAAAAAAAATGTTTAAAACTAAAAAGTATTCTTTTAAAATCATTGGATATTTTTAAAGATGATTGTTGATAATTCAGCTCAAAATCTGTTCACCTGAGTTACAATCTTTTTCTTTTTATTTCCTTTTGAATTTATCAAGCTGAAAGGGATCTTCCCTCAATGCTAGAAGACTTTCAGTAAAATTTATTTAAGTCATCATTTTAGAGCCTGATATTAAAACTTGTGTGCGTGTGTTTGTACATTGTTTCTTTTTTTTTTTTTTCTTTTTTAACAAAAAGGTGAAAACATGCACATTAATATTTAATCTGTGGATGTCAGGCAATATTTATCCACAATAATCTTTTTCTTTTTTTGCTTTTCAGGGTGACTCACATTGTGATGGAGAGAAAGGAAAACTCACTGAGCTGATGGCAGACAAAAATAAAGACAAAAATGATGGTAAGTAAATATTTTGGTTACACCAGGCATTACGTTAAAAAATGTCATTAGCTCCATCCGATTTTGAGGATTTGAATTACACTTGTGTGCTAAATGATTTGGATTACACTTGTGTACTAAATGATTTGGATTACACTTGTGTACTAAATGCAAGTTAAATTTGTACATTCAAGTTATTTCTTTTAACTTATTTGATGCTATTATATAACAAAATTGCCAGTATAATCACCAAGTGGACTCTGAATTTTTACCTATCATGATGAACAGGTGCTCTGTCAGAAATCCTCGTGCTTTGATCACTTATTGGAACTTAAACTCAACCCAGACCTTAAGTGAAACTCATACATACAATCCATTACAAATAGTTTCCTGTACCACTCCAGTAGGTACCTGACTCCTCGTGCTTATCTTTTACCTTTACAAGAGCAAGATCAAACCAAAACTAAACCAGTTCTGCTGCCCTATCTGGGCAGGAGCTGCTCAGTCTTCACTTTCCAATCTCAATAGAGTCCCAAAATGTCACTGCAGCCTTGTGTGTGATAAATTATCTTCCACCCTGCAACCTCTTTCCCACAGTCGAAATATTACAAGACTCTTCTACTCTATCACTATTCTTATGGAAAGTACTCAGACAAACTACATTCTTTAGTTCCACCAGTTCTAATCTTCACAGCTAAGACCTGTCCGTATCATGGCCATTGTAGGGAACAACCAATTATTCCCTTCATATTTCATTAGTGAGAAGTAAGTTCCACTCAAACAAATTCTTCTTACAAAATGCTGCTTTATGGAACCGACTCCCAAGATAATTTTTCCCTGATCCCCACAATCTTAACCTGTTCAAGTCTAGGGTTAACTTATTTTTCATACATATCCTCACAAAATGTGACCCTTATCTCTATGTAACTCTCTGCTTTAAGTGACTCTTGGGCCTTGTACAGGATGAACATTATTGTTAAAAAAAACTGCCAAGGGGATGCTTCCTCTTCACGGGTCAACCAATATAAAAAAAGATTAAATTATCTCCTTCAATTGCCCCTTCACCCCCAGGGTGGTACTTGCTTGATATGGTATGCTTATTATTTAAGACAGTATGCTTATTATTTTTAAAGTAATTTTTTATGTCACTTGATTATTTTGTTCTACATTCATTAAACTTCATACTCGTCAAAACATTTTTCAGCAAAATTTGGAAAAAGTTATTATGTGAAAAGGTTTTTGACAAAATCTTGAATCTGGTTTTTATTAGAAAAATTTTTTTTTTTTTTTTTTTTTCAGTTTTTTATTATCATTTCACCCCAAGCAAGGCAATAAAGCCACTAAAACACTAGCTGATTATCTAGTGGGAAAGGATGTGAGGAAAAAATATCATTAAGTAGAGAGGACAATAAAAGAACAAGAATTAAGAAAACAGAAGATAACAACTGATATTGCATTTAAATTTTGTTTCGGGTGTTCTGAGTTCTCACCTGTTTCTATAAATGCTGGAATCTCCAGTTGTCAGGTGAGTGAGTGCTTGGGAAACTGGTCTTAATAAAACCCGACAATGTTCAGAACTACAGATCACTTCCCACCAGAGGAGGAAGAAAAAAAAAAATTTTTTCTTGTAACTGTGAGAGTCAAGAAATGATTCATCATGAAAATCTCAAGTGCTCTTTTTTTTCTTTTTCTTTTTTTTTTTTTTTGGCCATTTCTTTCCTTTCTTCATTTTCGATGACTTTGCAAAAATCGACAAAAAAAAAGACAAATCTGGGAACAAAAAAACAAAATCCAATGTTTTCAAAGGAATAAATCAGATTCATTACAAGAATGGCAAATTAACTGAGCAAATGTAATTAATTAAAAAAAATGCAGCACTTCTTAATTAACCCTTAAATTTCACAGCAGCATTTGTGAAAATGTCTCTTTTTTTTAAATAAATAATAAATTCAATTCAAATTTTGTTTTTAATTGTGACACTTTTTTTCAAAAGTGTTTGTTTACCCAATAACCTAATGAATAAAAGAGGCCCTAGGCTCAAGGCGACAAGAACTACCACACTACATGATAGCCTAATGAATAAGAGTCCCAAGGTTTAAGGTTACAATCACTACCACTGTACTCTATAGCCTTGTAGTAAGATAACCCAATTGACACTTGTTCTATGATTAGTATAAATAAGTCACACCCTCTTAAGCAAAGCTGCAAGATTCTTCAGTTATATTCAATAAAGGCACATTGAGCCAAACTAGACTCCAAGTTTTCATTACAATTTATTGAACGTAATTATGGACAAATACCTTAAACCAGAAAATCTTGACTTGGACTCTGCAGACCTGTCTTCTACTGATACCTGGCAATATTGGAAACAATTATTCAAAGGATTCTTGCTTGCACTGGAAAACAGTTCATCCACTCTGATACGGATTGACTTAACCTACTAATGCACCATGTTTCCATATCCATATATACTAGTTCTCACTGCCATGGACATTTTGGATGGAATTTTTGATAAGAGACAAAACATAATCTTTGCCAGACAACTATCTGCCAATCCCCTGAGGAGGGGTTTGAACACTATCTAGACACTTAAAAAGACTGCAACTTTCAAATAATGACAGCTGATCAGGCAAAGGACAAATTTATCAGAGACTCCTTTATAAATGGATTAGAATCAAACTATATCTGCTGGAAAATAAAGAACAAGATTTAGATACTGCTCACAAGCAGGCACTTACCTTATAGATGGCAGAAAAGTAATCTTGTTCATACCTACAAACAAGTGTTGCAGATGCTGCACTAAGTACTCACACTTCTACTAGTCCACCAGTTCAAATGACACAAACAGGGAAAAAAAGATAGTTCTCTATGACAGACTTCCTCATTTCTGCACCACCACCCCACTCCACTAGTTTAAAATCATCTCTCTTTGGAAGATACTGCATACACTGCTAGTACTGCAGCCAGATGAAAATGTTATTTTTGTGATCTCAAACTACATCCCAAGTTATGTTGCCCAGCCAGGGAAACTAAATGCCACAAGTGTGGAAAGAAGGGATATTTCTCTAAGGTTTGTCAATCAAGTTTATTTTCATCTGGTTCGAATACTCCTATTGACACTAGTATCGTATCAACCGCAAACTCTAAATGTCTTTCAAAAACTATATTAACGGTAAAAATAAATAGGACTGACAGGAAACTTGGAGAGTTTTATTATGGCTGATATTGCAAAAAGAAACAGTTATAAAATCATACATTGTAATAGTCAAGTGGTTATGGCGAACACTTCACTATCTTTGCAGGTTAGAGGATATATTTTGGCCGACCTAGAGTTGAATCAAACTAACTACACTAACACCAAATTAAACTGTAAACCAATGGCCACTAAATCTGAAAAATATTCTCTTGAAGACAAAATATTTATTCAAGCAAAAATAACAAGAATATCAAGAGAAAGAATAATTGATGAAAGCAGATCACCATGGAGAGCACAAGTATTAATAACGTCCTCTGATAATAATAAAAAAAGGATGGTCATAGACAACTCCTAAACTATAAATAGGTTCACCCTCCTGGATGCATACCCTATACTCAATATTGATGAGATAATAAACAAGATTGCCAAATATGGAATATTTAGTACAGTGTATTTACCACCAAGTAGTTATAGACCCTAAAGATAAGCCTTATACGGCTTTTGAAGCCTGTGGACAACTTTATCAGTTCTGACGAATTCTGTTTGGGGTCACTAACAAGGTTTGGAAGGAAAACTAGAAGGCACCTTTGCCTACATAGATAATGTGACAGTGTGCGGCCATGACTGAGCCAACCACAGTCATAACCCAAAACAATTTTTGGCAACTGTTAAGAAATATAATCTTACACTCAACCATGACAAGAGTTCTTATGGGCCAACAACCATCAGACTACTTAGATATTTTGTGGGTAAAGGAATCATGAAGCTAGACCCTGAACAGCAAAAAACACTGCTAAAACTATCTATTCTCAACACCATAACCATCTGGCAATAAACCATGGGTATTTTCGCTCATTATTCTCAAAGGATATCCTCTTTATACCCACTTATGAAAATTACCAAATTTCCTTTAACTTCTTCTGCCATTAAAGTCTTTGAGGAATTAAAAAGAGATGTTGCCAACTCAGCCATCACTTCAGTAAATCCTGACATTCCCCTAGAAGTAAAGACCAATGCTTCTGACCATGCCATAGCTGCCACATTAAGGCAATCCGGGCACCCTGTAGCGTTATTACCCAGAACATTGTCAAAATCTGAGTGCAGATATTCAGCTGTCAAAAAGGAGGCTTATGCCATAATTGAGGCACTAAAAAAAATGATGATATTACTTAATTGGTCACTGCTTTAAATTAATCACTGACCAAAAGTCAGTCTCTTTTATGTTTAATCCCAAGACGTCAAGCAAAATAAAAAATGAAAAGATAGTGAGATGGAAAGTAGAGTTTACCTGTTTTTCGTTTAACGTTTCCTATCAGTCGAGACAGGAAAATGCAATGGCAGACATGCTGTCAAGAGTGTTTGGATCAATAAAGAGCACCAATGATCTACAAAAAGTTCAAAACAATCTCTTTCATCTAGGCATCAAGCAGATGATGCATGTGGTTTGAAGCCGGAATTTGCTTTTTCAGTTGAGGATGTGAAATAAAAACCCAAACCTGAACCCTAGTGAAAGCTACACAGCCATTTGAGAGGCTGAGTATGGACTTTAAGGGCCCTCTTCCATCTAAATCCTGAAACAAATATCTACTAGCTATTGTTAACGAGTATTCGCAATTCCCCTTTGCTTTTCCCTGTCTAGATGTAAGTGCAACAACAGTTATACACTGTCTTTTCTCACTGTTCTCAATATTCATAGTACGCAGCTTATATTCATACAGATCACCAGACCTCTTTTTTGTCTGACCAAATAAAAAGATTCCTATTATTACAGGTAGTAGCCATAAGCCAGACTACTCTCAAGGGAATGGGCAGTGTGAGAAATACAATGGAATAATATGGAAGACTGTAGAGTTAGCACTTGAAAACCAAAACCTTCCAATTAGACATAATAACCGAGTCTTTGTATGCTATAACAACACTATTGTATACAAGAACTAATGCAACATCTCACAAAAGATTTTTAAAATTTCCAAGGCAAAGTTCAGGCAGGATATCCCTTCCTTTGTGGCTCCCACGGCCAGGTAGCATTTTATTTAGAAACCATGTTTGACAAAGCAAGTGTGAGTAAGGAGGAACTTCTCGAGGAGAACCCACTTTATGCATGCCTCCAACATTTCCCTCAGAGCGAGTTATCAATGCAGAGGGAGGGGCAGCTCTCCCCTGAAGCAATATCTCTTCCTCTTGATAGTAACAATGACACAATGCCATTGGATTATCCTGAGGAACAAGGTTCCCGATAGTAACAATTCAGAGTTCGGCATCAGAATAGCTACCTCAAAACAAGAGCATACTATCACAAACTCTGATAATCAGTATTCAGAATTAGAGCAATCCACTCCAAGAAAGAAAAAGCAATATGAGATGAAATACTTCTGGATAACTGTTCCCATAACACCTTAGAGCCTGGATCAACTGCCACTGAGACAATCCCAGAGAATTGTCAAAGGACCCAGTCACCTGGGTGATTTTGTGTCAGGAGACTAGGAGAAAACAAAGTTGGGGAGAATGTAGTAAGACAACCTGATTACCTCCCCTTGTCTTATGATTTGTATAAATAAGTCATGCTGTCTTAGCCAAAATGGCAAGACTCTTCAGTTATTTTCAACAAAGGCACATTAAGCTGAACTAGACTCCAAATTTTCATTACAAGCCTAATGAATAAAAGAAGCCTTAAGCTCAGTGCTACGAGAACCACCGCACTACTCTATTGCCTAATGAATAGAATAGACATAAAGTTTAAAACTCCAATAGCTGCCTGACTATCCTATAGTTTAGTCAATAAAATAGACACTAGGTTTAAAAAAAGTAACCTAATATAATTTGTTCTATTGAATATAATAGGCATTATGTTTAAGGGTCTTAAAAACTGTCTGACTATGACTAGAAATACTATCCTAATTTTTATTGTTTTTATTAAGACTTTCCTATTATCTTCTCTGGTCGTTAACTCTCTGTTACCACTTTTTGTTCACCTTCAGATATTAGTTAACTATTTTTTTTAACCTCCTTAAAAAAAGAGTTCTAAGAGTTAAGAGGCTTGAAATACACTGCAATGATATTGATTGGTCTTGACTGACAATGGATATAATAATATATTGATTGGTCATGACTGACGATATAACAAACTTGTACCGATCTTGGCTGAAAAAGGAATAATAAAAAAAAATTTAAATGCTGAAAACAGTTAAAATAGAAAAAAAATTAAAAAGTAATATAATTAATAAAAGAAACAACCAGAAAAGAAAGATTATAAAAGAAATTCCGAAAGAATCAAGAAAGGTTCAGCAAAGAAAGAAATTTGAATCTTGATCATAGATTTTATGTTCTAAGCAGAAATTACCTGCATCAATTTAACCTTTGATGTTCATTAACTATAAAGTAAAAGTTTTAACATAATTATATTTGAAAATTTTCATTAATTTTCATGTCTTTGTTGTTTTTAAATCTCTGTTTCAGTCAATTGCCCAATCCTTCTTTGAATGTTGGTAATTATAATTAAAAACCTAATTATCACATAAACTCCAATAAATCATTTAGTCATTAAACCTGAACTGAATTATCTCCCTTAGGTTCAATCAAAATGAAGCTATATTGGCTGCATTCATCATCTTATACAGAGTTATCTATCTCTCATTATATAACCCAAGGACGTCTTGAGTTAAGGCTGCCAAGTTTTATGTGTATAGTAATGGGACCTTGGAGTATGTTATTAGCATATTAGTTTTTTTGAAAATTCCCCAAACTTTCCATTTTTTAGCAATAAGCTTAATGTACAATGCAAGCATAATATTAAACTAAACCCTTACTTTGTCCCAGCCAGCGTAGCTAAACTGAATCATTATCCTTCTGTTTAAGCATTTAAAATAGACAAATAGCTGAAAATTTGTAAACATTTTAAATTTTTAGAAAGCAGCTCAGTTTACAGTGTAAGTATAATGATAAACTGGGCCCTTACTTTGTGTCCATCAGCTTAGTGAAATCAAATCTTTGGTTTTTATTTTTTCACTGTTTATCAATTTACAAATGTGAATGTTACAAATTCCAGGGGTTTGTAAGATTCACTTACATGCAAATAGCCATTGAGAAAGGTATGAATCCATCTCTTTTTCCTTCCAGCTGTGGTTGAACAGCAGGACAGACTGGCTTCTGTAGCCTTGGTTGGCAACCAGTCTACTGCAGGAAGAAATAGCAACCTACTGCAGGAAAATCTTCTGCCAGATCAGTCATGAATCGAAAGCCAAGATCACCCAAACATGTATCACGTATGATACCTAACTGATTGACTGAACTGTATAAAGTAGATATTTAACTGGTAATTTCCCAGCCAGAAACCAAAGTTGTGACCTTCCTCCACCCCAGGCACTTTTGGGGAGCATAGAATCAAGACTTAAAAAAATTTTTCTAGTTTAATTGTTTACCTATATTACATAAACAACTAATATAAAAATAATTGGTAAGGAATTTCTATATGTATCCTTTTAGTATCTGTTCTGTTGCTATACTCAAAGTAATCAGGGCTGGTGAAAGATTCTTGTGCCCCACCTCCCTGAATCTATGATACAGGACCCCCTCTTACTACTCTACTACATCTCAATTGTCATAAGGTAGTATTCATATAAAAAACAAATTTTATTGTAACCTATTTATGTATAATAATGGATCATATGCAATTTCAGTGAGCAATTCAACTAGAAAAATCAAAAATAAATACAATGTATCTAAATACAAATTAGAGACATGTCATTATATATATATATATATATATATATATATATATATATATACCAAGTGTAACAGCAAAATTGTCCAAGCAATTTAAGTAAATGCTCTCTCTCTCTCTCTCTCTATATATATATATATATATATATATATATATATATATCCTAAGTAATTTTGACTACAATTGCATAAATTATAAATGTTCCTATGATAAACACCTCAATCACATATGAATTTATATATATATATATATATATATATTATGAAATGGATTAAGTTCAACAATAAATAAATCTTTTAAATTCCCAGAATCTCTCGTTCGTGCGCATGTGCACGAACGAGGGATGCTGGGAATTTCAAAATGATTTATTTTTAAAACTAGCCTATTTCATCTCATTCATGTGCCCCCCCCCCTTGTGTTCCCTCCCTCCAAATCTATGATACGACCCCCACCCCCCGCCACTACTCATCTCAATTCTCATAAGATAGTATTCATATAAAATACAAATTTTATTGTAACCTAAATATGTACAATAATGATCATATGTAACTAGAAAAATTGAAAATAAATCCAATGTATCTAAATGCAAATTAGCAACATGTCATAATAGACCATTTCATTTTAAAGAAATCAACAATGTTTTGTGGCAATTTTTAACATCAACTTGAGATTTTCTTGTTAGAAAGTTGAATAATTTTAACACATTCAACATTATGGATAAAAAAATAGCAAATTTTATATAATGTTTTTTCACAACTCAGCATGAACAAAACAAATTCACAAATTTAGATAAAAAAAAAAAGATCCCAGAAAAATGTCAAAATCCGCAAAACATTTTTCAATATTAAATAGTCAGTTGTTCTTAGTTTAATATGTAACGTATATAAATGTAGGCCAAAAAATATAAATGTTGATAAGCTAGGGATGGTCACAAAACACTGCCTGGGCCCCCAATCTAGCTTGGCCCACTACTGGTTAGGGGTTCAGGGGTAATACACACCAACTATGAATGTAATCATACCAGAAATGGAGTATTGTTGCCATATCTGGCCTGGAGCTACACAATCGTCACTTTCCAGCCTTGATAGTCCTTCTGCCCCGCTTCATCCTTACAAGAATCAGATCAGACCAAAAATGGAGTATTGCTGCCCAGGTCTCACTTGCCTATCAAAATGATCTATTCGGCCTTGTGGGTGATGAATTATTTCCCACCCTACAACCCCTTCCCCACAGATGAAATGTCACAAGTTCTATAGCTATTTCCATGGCATGTGTTTTGACGAACTAAATTCCTCAGTCCCGTAATCCCTGACCTTTACCATTGGGACATGCCACACCACATACACAAGCGTGAATGATTCCCATTCCTTTTGTATTCCATTAGTAAGGAGAGCTTCTTGCCAAGAAATGCTTCCATTGTGGAAGAAACTACTGGCAAGACGTTTCCCAAATCACTACAATCTTGACCTCTTCAAATCTAGAGTTAACCTGTTTCTTGGATAGCCCCAGGAACTTCTCTTTTCTTAGGCTCATACAACACCACACAGTTACCCTCTACCTTGAGTGGCTCCTCAGACTTGTATTGGGTGAACATTAGTATTTTAAAAAATTATTAAAAGGAATGAAATTTTTCACAATAAATTCTTTCTGTTATATCAACAATTATTAATAAAATAATCCGCATATCTAATTCATTTATAGTAAAATAATTTCATTTCTGTAGTAAAAAATCATTTCCAATTAATTTTTATAGTAAAATAATTTCTAATTTATTTCTGTAGTAAAATATTTTCAAAATAAAGACTTGGTATGAAACTGTTTGTTTTTGTTTATTTTTTAGATGCACCATCAGGGGAGGGAGACAAGATGTTCAAGAAACCAGTGAAGCGACCTGGGGACACCCCTCTTGACCTGACTGTGTCAACGTCGAAAAAAAGCAAAGAAGATGATCCTGACATTGACGACTCAGAGTTGCAAAATTCCAGCCTGATGTCATACAATGAAGATGAAGAAGATGAAGAGGATGAAGAAGATGAGGAAGAGGAAGACGAAGAGGATGACGAGGATGAAGAAGATGAAGAGGAAGAAGACGAGGAGGAGGAAGCTGAAGAAGAAACCTAAATCTCCATCCTGGTGTGTTTAACTGTCCCAGTTGTGCCTATTAATCATGTGTGGTCAGCAGTTGTCACTGCTGACCGCTGTGGAGAAGCAGGACTTCTGTGTGCTGGAGCTGACAAGTGGTAGCCACTGGCTGGAGGATGACCATGACGACCACACAATACATTCTCCTCCTCCTCTTCTTCTTTCTCCTCCTCTTCTTCATCCCTCGTTTCCTTCTACCACCACTACCATTTTCACTACTACTACTACTATAACAACTCAACAGCCAACTCACTTAGATGCCAGCAATTCAACCAACGAAACCCCACCCCTATTTTTTTTTTTAATGTGTTTTGGAACCTGTGAACTGATCACTGTGTCCATGTCTGTCTGTCTGTCTGTATGTCTGTCTGTATATCAACTTTCTTGTTTTTATTTCTATGCCATACACAGTAAAAGAGTTTTTTTTTATTTCATGATGATGATGATGATGATGATATCAATAATAATAATAATTTAATTCCAGGCATTGGTAGAATTTTTTTTTTTTTTTTTTTAAATTTTTAACAAAGAATCTTGTTTTTAAAAACTGGAAAATAAAAATTCAACCAACATAATTTTTCTTTTTATAAAAACTATTTAATTTTTTTCAAAAGGAAAAAACTATTATGTTTTTTTCTTTAATTAAAATTTTTTACTTATTTTTTATCCGTCATTTAATGTTAAGAATATTTAGAAAATTATGTGTTTAAATTAATTTCTTAAAATTAAAACAATTAATACTTTTTTATTTTATTAAAACAAATTTTGTAATATTTAATGTGAAAAATATTTGATTTAAGACACTGGAAGATTTTGTATTTAAATTTTTAAAACCATATAACAACTGTGTACATTTTTTTTAATATAAAATATTTGATTCAATGAATTTTAAGGATTTTTTTTTTAATATTTAAAATCTAAAAAAAGGCAAAATATAAAATAAAATAAAATTTAAAATAAACCACAAAATCCAAAACACTTAATTTTTTTTTTTTAGTATATTTCTCTATGTGTTTTTTCTAATAATAATAGAAAAAAAAAAAAGAAAAAAAAAACTTCCTGGTTCACTCCACAACCATCACATTCCCCCACCCCCTCCGTTCTCTCACCCAGCCAGTCGCAGGTCTTTTTCTCACTCCCCCTCCACCTCTCATCTCTTTCTTTGGTTACCACTCTTACTACTGCCATTTATTATATGTTCGTTCCTATTCCCATCGTCATCCTAACAACCACCATCACTACCAATGTCTTAGTGCTGCAGTACAAATATATTAATATTAAATTCACCTTCCATTGCTTTCCATCTTTCTGTATGTGTAAAAAAAAAAAAAAAAATTTGCTAATTTGAATCCTATTGCATTTATCTCCCCTTGTTCAAATTACACCAGGTCTAGAAAAATTCTTGTTCAGCAGGGTCCACTTAACTGAAGATTGATTAGATGTAACATAATTTTCAAGCCTCAGTTGGACAGTTTTTTATTTTTTTATTAAAACTTTAGTTTTCTTGGATAATAAATTGTTTTCATCAACCAACATCCCCATAAGCTTCAGGACTGATAAAAAAAAAAAAAAAAAAAGCAAACATAAATACTGATCCCTTACATCACCACGACAGACCCTTGAAACCAGAATATATGGTAGCCTAAATAAGATTGTCTTGCATTTTTATTAGTCAGCCATTATTATGCTATATAAAGAGTATTTCTTTCTTCTTTTTTTTTAGTTTTAGATGCTTTTTATTGCAACTCTCAGACAATTGTTTACTGACAAGTGTACAATGGTAGTTTGAGTTGTAATAAAAATAAAAGATTATTACTACTACTACTACCTTTACTACTACTACTAATACTAATCTCTAAAGATAAGCTAAACTAAACCCATTACTTAAAAATTATATTTAACTATATTTTGGGATTTTTTTTTAAAATCTATTTAGTAGATATTATAGTTTGGATAGATAGTTTCATTAGTCCGTCAAATAGAATTTTTTTTTGTCTTTTAGATGATAATTGGACTTCACAAATGAGTGGCCACCTGGACCCTAGGCAGGTCTTCTTTTTTTAACTAACTTTTTTTTATTGGTACATTTGTATGCTTGTAAAATCCACTGTTTCTACTCTTATTCATGAAAGATAGTGTTATTTATATATTTATTTATTTTTTAAAGTCAACCTTGTTGGTAAAATAGGGGTGGCTTCAGTTCAAGCCTAGGAGTACAAATATAGACCTTGAACAAGTCTTTCATGTACCAACTGTGGTCAGTATCATTTACATACTTCTTGTCATACACCCCCCCATGGTATAAATACATTCATCATTAATATTCCTCGTATTTGGTACTGTTATTACTAATATTAACACCTGTCAAGGGACTGAGGACTTGTATATTCATTTGGACTGCTGTTATATTAAGAAGAGGTTTATCTCAGGCAAAACAGTTTTTCCTCAGTTCAAATTGCAAAGTTATCTTAGTCTCAATTCATGGTGTGCTGAAAGTATATATATTGCAACTAGAATCGGGTACAGCCTGTCCCTATTTTTCTTTTCTTTTTTTTTTTTAAATCATCTGTTGGACACAAGTGCCCAGGACCTTACAGGCTCACTGTGTAGTATCTGTTTGTCCATGTCTGTCTATCTCTCATAATAGGATCTGTTAAAGGGAAACAACTCGGTTTAGTGTTCAGCAGTTGTTCTTCGGGCGTATTTAAAATAAATAAAATAAAATAGATAAGTTAATATTTATGTTTCGTATTTTATTTGTTTTAGTGGTTTTAATGCTCTTATTCAAATTTTTCTTTTGGAAATGACATCCATCTTATAAGACTTAAAGTAGGCAACGTTCTTCATTGTTTACATGTTCAATTTAGACAAACGCCACTTAAATTGTGGATTTGTTTCAATGGCTACCATTACTGAATTGGTAAAAGTACACCCATTTTAACTATAGCTGAACCAGGAAAGTTATGGCTTTGCTATGGATTCAAACTCCCACCAGTGGTAATATTTCATTTATTTATAAATATATCTACTTGTAAATACGCTAATAACTAATTTCTAAGGAGTTAAAGGATTTCATTTGTAATCCAACATTATTTCTTCTTATTATAAACGTTATATTTAGTGAAGACATGTTTCTGAAAACATCCTTGGTTTTTGAAACAGTGTAATTTAATGTCTACTGGCCTGAGTATTTGAGAGTCTTAATAAAGAAAATGCTTCTCTGAGTTGGATTTGAACCTGTTTTTCTCTAGAAATCACCTTGAAACAAAGCAAGGTTCAGTTACCCTCTTTTTAAAGAAATGCACATCTCATCTGCTTCCTTCCCCCCCTCCCCGATATTGGGAAAATCATTTTCCCCAATATAAAGTGGACACAGGTTCATATTCTGCTGAAAGGAACAAGTTTCTTTATTAAGATTCTTAAATGCACAGGCAATAGAGATAAATTGACATTGTTTGAAAAACAAGGTATGTTTACTCAAATGTGTGTATTTTCTAAATATAATATTTTTAGCAATAAGAAATACACTTTAAAATAAAGAAGTTTTAAAAAGTTGTCCGAAAATAATTGTGTTAAAAATGCTTTTTTAATGTCAGTTTATCCAAAATTCTTAAAATAAAATTGATTTTCAATTTTTTTTTCCTTCTTATTTCTTAAAGAATTGTTTTGTAATCATTTTGTGACAATTTGATTTTTTTTTGTTTCTTGCATGTACATCCAACATAATAATGTTTGAACAATGTTTGTGTACATTTTTAATATTTGCATCCACTGCGAAAGTCAATTTGTCACAGAATAGCCATGTTGTATTTGTTACTCTATGAACTGATTAAAAAAGAAAAAAAATGACAATAATAGAATTTGGTAATTTTTTTTTTTTTCATTTGATATTCCCACTGACGTGTGTTTGTGTTGGAATTTTTATTTCTGACCATCTTGGTATTATGGCAGGAATAGAAAAATGGTAAAAGAATCAGAAAACGGTCGTTTTTTTTTTTTTTTTTTTTTTAAAGTCTTTGTGTTATTCATCGGCTGTGTCGCGATTTTCCACAATTTAGAAAAAGTTTGATTAAAAAGCCACAAATCTCATAATTTCATGTAAACTACACTTCAGTTAAAAATTAATTATTATTTAAAAACTATTTCTTCATTGCCCAAAACAAAACGGACAAAGTCTTTTGTCATGACAGAATCATTTTCCTTGGACAGTTTCTTTGCAACCAGCAAACCCTGTATTTAGATAATATTCCAAATTCTAGGTTTGAGTTTAACAAAATACCTACTAAACTTGGCTATGTGGGTGCTTAACATAGATCAATATGTAAATCTCACAAAATCATTATTTCAATCTGAATTAGGAACATTTTGACCCTGTGACAAAATAAGAAAGCCGTATTTTACAAGTGGATGAAATTGCAGATTAAAGATTTTTTAGGTATTTCTTGTAGGAATTTTTAGCATAGGTTAAATTTAAAATTTAATCTATATCAATTTAATCTAAAATTTTAATGTAGGTTAAATTTTTAATTTAATCTAAATTAATTTTAATTAAGTTTTTATTGTAGGTCAAATGTTTTATTCAATTAACATTCATTTTAATAAAAAATTTTGTGTGGTTTAAATTTTTAGTCTAATCTACATTAATTTTAATAAAATCTTTAAGGGAGATTATATTAGCAGAATCCCAAGCATGAAGATATGAAACAGTACCACTATTTTTTTTTTTTTTTTTTTTTCCTCCTCCTCCTTGTCATGTAAATATTACAGTCCATATCATAAAAGTTTTTTTTTTTTTTTTTTTTTTTTTTTTGGTACAATTCCATCAACTACCATCACTAATACTATCTCATTATCACTGTCTACAAAATTTACTTTGGTTATCATCACTATAATCATCAAATAAGGTAGCAATCTGGCCTTCCTTCATAATTAGCCCTTTCAGCTTCACTGTCAATAAAATAGCCAACACACACTCACAC